ATTTTTTGTGATGAGTGCGAATACCGAAAAAATGTAGTTTTATAAGTTTTGTTGCCAGAAATGTTCCACATAAACCATAGGAAATGCCGGTTAGAAAAGATAATTGCTATAATCAATCACCTGATAAGACGTCTTCAAAATCACCTTGGTATTTAGTTAATCCTACTTTTCAATTTCATTTTCAAAAATATCAAAATTTGCCCAAGATTTACTGCGGATTTTGTGGCTAATGTACAGAACAAAACTGGAAATGTTCACACAAAGAACTTTTTCTTGAGATTTCTGCTTTGCAACAGGCGCTTGTTTTCAGGAGAAATGTTTTTGTTATTTAAAAACGTTAATGTGTTGTAGAAATGTTATTCACAAAAAGTTTACTTTGCAATTACAGCTGCTTTTGCACGTTGAAAGTGGCTGTTTTCAGATTGTAAACTACATGCAGATAATTCTAAGCTTCAATGTCTACAATGGTGAATCAGATATGTATGTGCGATTGGAATTATTTCTCTAATAATTAAATTTAGTAACAATAATTGCCATAAAACAATTAGGATTTACCGTAGAACGTGCGACGCATTTTATCAAAAACGAATATTTTAAGAACCAGTTATTATTCGTTTGGAAACGTTTCCATTTTGTGATTGTTTTGTATGTGTTAGATTAATGATTATCATGTAATATAACTAGAATTCCCCACAAACATGTTTTGGATGCAAATCTGGCGAGTTTGCATTATTTAATTCTACTGTTTGTAATGATGCGTGTGAATGAGCATTATCTCTACTAAAAGGCAATTATATCTGTTAATTGCACAGTTTCTCAAAGTCATCACAAAATAATAGATTTTTTAAATTATTGCTCGTACTATAATTGCTAATTATAAAACCATCAATATTAATTTCAATCCATGGGGCATGGGGCGTTTTAGCGCGATGGGCGAACATTATTTGAATGTAGTCATTTAGAAAGGGGCCAACGAATATGTTATGTTGACGACCTTACAGGTACGCTACGTCATTTGCCTTGAATAAATTATTATAAATAATAGCCAAATAACAAATTTGGTGTTTACGGAAATTTAAACAAATCTCATTTTCAATCCAACCGTAAAGTCTCTGAGCGAAACAGCATTTTTTATGTGCGTAGAAGCAAACTTCCAGGCTTGCCGGAAGGAAATGAAGCCTTGGCAAAACTCGATTAAACTTTTCCAAGTTTAAGGACAGAAACAGATGAAACGCTAGCGCAATCGATAACCATCCTTCTAGGTCACGCAACGTTTAAATCTCTAGTTTTTTTAAGGCCAACAATTAAACAAAGTTTTATGCTAATACTAAGAAAACCGACGTAAATATTTAACAGCTTGTAAAACAATATAGATTGAAGACTTTGTTCTAAATGAATATTTCAAAGTATGTCAAGTGGCGCTTCGGGTTTTTCCGTAAATTAGTTTCCTTGGAGTGGAGAGCAACGAGTGGCCTCTGAAGATGCAACGCACTGGTGCTTGCAAAACGTTAAGAAGAAAATTTTAATTTACCATCGCTTAAAACCGAAAATCTGCATTTATACTTTATATCGGCGCCCATGAAAAATCCATGGGCAAAATAACGCTCGATCCTGGAACTGTCTGAGATTAGCACAGTCCTCAGAAAAACTCAAGTTTCTTACCATCAGAGGGTTTTCGATTTCTGCCTGTGCTAATACTGCGCAAGAAATACCGGGAAAATATGTTTTTTTTTTATTTAAAAAATCGCCAATGTTCAAACTTCTTTAAAAATTTAACATTAGAATGCGCATTATTAAATAAGTTTGGAACATTTTTGCAACAAAAAACGTTGTTCCAGTATACGATATCTCCGACTATCGACGCAAGCACATCAAAGAGTATGCGTCGCACGAGATGTTCCGCGCAGACAATTTGCCAGCGTGGCGCATCCGTCAGCAGAGTTTCCGTGAGGCTCTGGAGGAAGCATGCGATTGGCTGGGCAAAACCGGCCACCAAGTGGCCATCCTCGATGGACCCAACGTCTCACGCGCCCAACGACAAGAGATTTACGATCTGGCTCACGGCCAATTGGGGTTCAGGGTGATGTTTATCGAGTGCGTATGCGAGGATCCCGTATTGCTGGAAAGAAACTTCAAGGTAATTGGCCTGCTTTACCCCATCAGCAATTGGGTGTTATTGAAAATTTCCCTGCAGGAAATTCTGCAGTACAGTGCCGATTACAGAGACATGGCAACTGAAGAGGCGTTGAAAGATCTCACGTTCAAGATGGCTCATTACAAGGCCCAGTATGAGTCGCCCACCTTGGGCAGCTTATGGGAACTGTCCTGTCCCATGGTCAAACTTCTGGACGGAGGCGATGGCGGCGTGATTGCTCATGGAGTAACCGGAGTGCGCGAGAGCAAGATTCTGGCCTACATTTCCATGCCGAAGCCATATCAGCAGACTCTATATTTTAGTAGGGTAAGTAGCTATTCAACAACTCGCTCCAATGAATCCAGCTTGGAAGCAGCAGCTAAAATTATCGGGTTTAAATTTAGAAGCTTCACGATGCTTGGAAGTGATTTCGGCGCGATAATTTGGAGCGCGAGTTTACATGGTACTGCTCTGGAACGTTTATTTTTAGTTCAAAATTCAGACTACTTGGAGCCACGTATGTTGGTTTTAATCATAACAACTATTAAAGTCTGGATATTTCGCGTGCTTTTTGCCAATTGATGTTTAAATGTTGTTATCCACCAAACATGCTGATAAATTTCATCGCACCATAAATTGCCCATTAGGCAAGACCATTGATAAAAACTCAAGAAACCCGGGATGTTTGACACACTCTTATCGAACTCGATAACGTTATTAAATTAACGCGATTGCTCATTTTGTCCAGCTAACCGCCAAAATTCAGGAAAATATTTCGGTTTTAGCATGGAGAAAGTGAGTTTAATGTAATCGGGCGCATTGGAGGCGACGCCGTTCTCTCTCCCAGGGGAAGAATGTACGCCAAATCCCTAGCTAAGCACATACAAGCTCTAAACCTCCCTGCTCTACAAGTATGGACCTCCACCTTGCAAAGAACCAAAGCAACCAGCGCGCTCATCAATGCTCCCAAGCAACATTTGCCCGAATTGGATGAGATTTGGTCGGTAAGTGGAAACCAAATATATAATTTACTTTAAAAAATCTCAACTTTTTCTCGGACTCGAAGGGAAACACTGCTTTAATCTACGCAAAATATCAATAAAGCAAACTTTCGTGCATGCGTTTTTGTTTACAATGTAAACCAATTGTTGTTGATTAAAAGCATTAATAGAAAGTTTCAGACTAACCACTTCAGATAAGCAAAAACAACTCAGTTAAATCTCAAGCGCGGAAAAAAAATCGACATGTGTATGAAAATTGCAAACAATTACAGAAACACACTAACAAAAAATTATGCACATGGGTTATCGGCGACTTACTAACAGTTTGCGTAAATATTTTGACTTTCAACTGTGTGGATAGGGACTTTTATAACTTTGTTATTCACAGTATTTTGCATTTTGATCCTTATAGATTACCGGTCTATTTCTGGACTGTAAATAAACTTGTTCTAAATTCCGTTGATTACACCTGAAGGGTGCCCTGTTTCACTTGAAACGCATGTTATCCATGTTTGTTGTGCGAAAACATGTATGATTTATTGGATTTATGTTATCGTTCTCATTCAATTTGCTAGAAATTCAAGGCCCAAAATCCGCTTGATCTCAGATTAATTTCTGAGAATGCTAATAATACCAATTGTTTTCTCTCAAGTATTAGATAAATGGTAAATTTATTGATTTTCAGGGTGAATGCGAAAATCTCTCGTACGAAGAACTGCAAGAGCTTTTCCCAAAGGAACTGGCGTTGAGAGACAAGGAAAAGTTGAAATACCGTTATCCACAGGGCGAATCCTACGTGGATGTTATGCAGCGCTTAGTTCCAGTTTTGAACCAACTTGAATGCGAAACCAACGTACTAACAGTCAGTCATCAAGCTGTTTTGCGCTGCATTCTTGGATACTTCATGGAAACCGATCCAGAGGAGATCCCCTACATGCATGTGCCTTTACATACCATCATTAAGGTACATTTACAGTAAAAATTGAGTCAGTTGAGCAATAATTGATTTCTTCCAGATCACTCTGCAAGGGTACAACTACAACATGGAAACCATCAAAATGCCGATAGAATGCGTGGATACCACAAGGGCAAAACCGATCAATTGTTCGGAAACTCGTACCACTGAAGACGCTCTTTTGACTCTGCCTGCTCACTTCGATTCAGTGGCGAGTCTCGCTAGCAACCTCACAACTTGTACTTAGCTGACAGATTTAGAGAAGTTGGACAGTCAGTCACAGTAGAGAGCTGCATTGAGGCAATGAAAGTAGAGGATTAGAGTACCTGTCCAACGAAAGTCAACATGTTTACTGCAAACGTAATCAGTTTTCGCGCTTCGGAGTGTGTTTAATCGATTAATACCTAATTCTTTACCGAATAGAAACCCATAGCTTCATTACAGCAATAGCACACTTTGCCATTCTACTTCCCAAAGAAAATATTAGTTTTGCAATTAACAGCCTTAAAACATCTTCAAACACATGTAAACATATCCCTGTCCCCAAGAAAATATCTTTGATACTTTGAACTATATTTTAAAGTGAGCAAAACAAGTAACTTCGAATGGGTATTTTGCTGGATAAATTCCGAGCAGATGTTTAATTGTTAATTTGAAACTCATTTGCAAACCATGAATATTTAGTTTAAAAAACTGCTGGTAATTTGCTGATATAAACTTGTTTTGAACAAAATACGTCCAAAGTATGGATATTATTCTCACTACGTTTTCCTTTGTTATATTTTAATTTCCATCAGACAAACAACTTTGGGATTGGTTTTTTTTATTCAAAACCCTTAGCTTCACTCTTGATTGGCTAATATTTAGCTGCAAACCCTTGTGTACACTCAAAAAGCAAACTTGCGCCTATTTTTTAAGCTTGTTTTATTCGATTTGAGGGGGGGAAAACCGGTTTAATATATTCAATTAAAACGGGAAACATTTTAATCCAATAAGCATGTAATCTTTAGAATATAAATACTTTGACTGACTTAAATGTCAATTATTCTCGATGTTTTTATTTTATAACTACTATTCTGGATCCTTACAAATTACTATTGTTCTTTATTTCTGTTAATTTTAAGTTTTTGATCACATTAATTTTCTGTGTGTGCTTAGAAAATTTGCGATATCTTAACGCTGGAAGTAAGATCCTACGTATATGCTCGCATGTTTTTAAAGATATTACATCTATTTTAACTAAACAACTTTTCCTAGTCACCGAAACCGATAAGTTTCCTTCGAATATTAGTGTTTTCGGCAACTCTGATAATTATTTTAAGCATTTTGGCTGTTTTAATTGATTTCATAATAATGATCATATACCTTGGATAATGCGATTCGCAAATAAAATCGAGCTAAAATTTAACTTTTTGTAATTTTTTTATATTTTTTAATTTGATTTCAGCCTATTAGGATTGCGATTAGTAACAACTTAGATGGGTGAAATTGCATGTGTCGCTTTAGGGTAGTATTAACTGTGATTTTCTCAAATTATGTAATATGTTTAGCATTTTTTATTTTCCCAGAGTGAAAAGCAATTTTTATTTGTTTGTTTATCGAAGAGATTGCGTAGTTGTGTATTCTGTTCTAAGAATAAAGAAATATATACAGTTGAAAACTCGCATTTTTAATAATTTTCCTCGTTATAATTTAAATTTTCATAGTTAATTAAATATTAAGAACATGAGGCGTGGCTACATGACCGTTAAATTTCGATAGACTTGCTCAAGGTCAAAGAAGACATCTCGATTCTTCGAGTGTATCGACTTTCAAAATATCTACCTTTCAGGTGAGTGTTGCCAAGGGCAACGACTCTTCGAAAATTGTTTGTCAACAAACCTACCTTGTCAAATATTTTCCTGATATTAATTGTTGTTAAAAGCCGAGAAAATGACCCTTTACATGGAAAATGCGGTGAAATTTCCGGAAACTGGTTCAATTTCCATCAATGCCGTTTGGCATCCGAATGTCTCCCTTCTGGCTGCCGCCGGTTTTTCGCAGGATAAAGGGGGATACATAATCATTTTCGATGAGTTGGTGAGTTAAATTTGAAGAGTATGTACATACAATCTAATAAATGAAATAGATAAAAAATAGATGGCAACAAATGACGAAAATTAATACTAGTCGAGCCCAAGCACATGCACTTAGAAAATTTTAAATTCAAAACCTTCACCGTGGTTTTTTGTTAGGGTGAAACAATAAAAGATGTAAACTACCCAGTGCATCGCAGTTATCAAGTAACCGGTCTGGTTTGGCACCCTGAAAGAACGATTTTAGTCTGCGGATGGGAAAATGGCGATCTTAAAGTATGGAATGGTACTGATCGAGACTTTATCACTGCTGTCGGCCCTCAAAAGTCCCCTATAACCCTACTGGAATTTAGTGAAAAGGGTGGACGCCTAGTTTCGTGTGACTCTGTAAGTGCATTCAATAAAAACCATCCAAATTGTCGCTCACAAGAATTTATAGACTGGCTCGATTGTTGGGTGGAGAATTGATGTTAAAGGGGAAACCAGCATGATGTTTCATCTAGATTTAAACAATGAGTCCATAACTCATTTGACTTTTCGCTTATCCATTCGGACTCAAACAGACTTTGATGTGGAGGGTTTGGCCAAAGCTGCTGTTAATGGTACTTTTTACTGCCATTTACTCATTTGACCGTTAATGCGATCCTTATAGGCGATGAAAACGCCCTGGATATGTTCAGCAATTGGCGCCCGAAGACAACAGCCAGAAAATTTCGCATTCAAGACGGCTCAGATAACTTCTGCTTCTTCATCGCCACCCAGCAGGGCTCAATTTATTACGTAAATTCCAAGTAAGATTTAACAGCATTAAAATTAAAACTGGGCAATTTTAATTGCGGTTTTAGCGGTTCATGCTCAGAAGTTTTAAACACCGAAGGCGCAGCCTTATCCTATGTGGTTTATCAGGCTAATAAAGACGCCCTGGTAATCATGATGGAGGGTCTAACAGTTGGACATTTTTCAGTGGATAGACAAGGACATCTTACTGAAATTGCCAAAGTTAAATTGAGCGGCAGAGTTCAAACCCGAACTGTGAGCAGTCAGGGGCTGACTTGGGCTGGAAACTCTAGCTTGGCTATTTTAACAGGTGTGAAGGGGATTTCTACACAATTCCAATTAGATAGAATATACGCAAAAGTAAATAATTTCCAGGGGATCTGACTGTTAGAATATGGGACTTAGAGACAAATGATAACTATGTGCTGCCCACAAGTATGAAACTATACGTCAACGATGATAAAGCTCCCTCAGTAACGGAGATTTTCACATGTATTTCGTACTGCAAACTAAATCAAACGCTTTGCGCCGGAACCAATATAGGTAAAATCCACAACGGTTTAACAAACAGAGCTCATACATGATCGCAAAACTCTAGGTCGCATCTATTTCTGGACAAAGATACAAAACGCGGCTCTGGAAAATGCCGAAGACCAATGGGAACTAAACAACATTAATAACATTGGCGGAACCATCAAGCAACTGAAATGGGGCTTGTTTATGATGCGTTTGCCTCTATTGAGTGTGAACTGCGTCACCTCAATCTACATAATGAAAGAACAGTCGGTGTGCAGCGCATTTTGCCAGAAAATTTGGGCCACCCAGAAAACTACCAATCAAATTTGGATTGAGTCTAAACACGGCAACCAACTGCTTGACTTGGAATCTCAGGTAAAAAAGTGCAGTTTATCCTTGAATGTAACACGGACATGGATTAGAATTCTTTGATTACTTACGTGTTAACGCATATAACAAAGAAATGTATTGTTTCAAAACGACAATTAACTATTATTACATGCAAGTAGTTCCTACATCAACAACTTTTTTCACCAAAACACTGTCTTGATTCCAATTCTCCGACCGAGATGCATTCACTTCGCGCACATTAACACTTTGCTGATAATAGTCATGAGTCCTCATCCACTAATTCGACTAAATCTTTTATTTTTCATATAAATAATCCATTATTTCAAAAACGTGGAATGTTTCCAAAAAAGTCGCTTACTTTCCAGGTCAGCGATATGGCCATATCCGAAGACTATATTGTATTTTCGAATGGAAGACACATTTCTGTATACAACATTACTTGGAAATCCGAAGGAAAACTAGACGCGAAAGGTTCAGTTATCACTCTTAATAATTGGGAAATTGATATAAAAAATACTGCGGTCATATTTTTAGGCAATAACAATTGCGATTTTTCCGTGGCATTTAGCAGTAGATTCCAATCAGAGAATGAGGGCATAATTATTCATAAGAAGACAATAATCACCCTTAGTCCAGTGAAAGTGACTCTGTATACGGCAAATGGGAGTATAATCTCGCATATAACTTCAGCTGCAAGTGAAGGTAATTCACTTACTTTCTTTTGCAGCATGGATATGGAATTTTCAAGTGTTTTAGGCGATTGCATTGGACTGGATTTAACCAATAGTTATTTAACCATCGGAACTATGGAAGGCTATTTGAAAATATATGACATATCTGATAATCAGCCCAAACTCATAACGCCAGTGAAAAGTTTGATGGATTCTATTGAGGATTTCGGAGAAGTGATTCAAGCGAAAACCAATTCCAAAGGTATTTGCAGCCAAAAACCAATTCCTAAGATCTCGTATTAAACCAATTTAAAGGCAATAAAGTGGCCTTTACTCTGGCAGCAGCAAATCTGATCCCGGACGGGAAACTTTACATTTGGGACATGGAAACCGACGACATAATGAAATACGATTTTCGTAAACACGACGGCATGGAAAACTCAGATTTCAGTGACACACTAGAATTGGAATTTAACGAATTAAATACAGATGATGAGTCTGATGTTGCTTTCGATGAAATATGCAAAAACCGAATTCCTTTATCGCTGTACTGGTGCGAAGAAGACGCCAGACTGTTAATATGTGACGCCAAGAAAATAAAAAAATCAAACTCAAAAATACCCCAGCCGCAGTTGGCTAAAAACGGTAAAATTGGTTGAACAAAATAAGAAAATTCTTTCATTTAAATATATTTATAGCAAAACCACTTGCAGAAGAAGACCAAATAATAGTAACAATGTTCGTATTGCCAAACAACAAAATCAAAATTCACGACGTGAAAGCTGTGGAAGCTGACACTCGCTTGTTGGGCTTATCCATTCCTCACATAGTAACTTTGCAGAAATTGAGCATTTTTCGCGAAGTGATGAGCGATTTCACTGGCTTAGAAGAGTGTTCGCGGAACACTAAAGAAGCGGTTATCGACTTTAGCTATCATTTAAGCTTAGGTAAATATGTAAAGCCTCTATAACCCCCTTGCATATACCCAGGGGTTTTGTAGGAAACATGGACGCAGCCTTTAAATCCATAAAACTAGTTCAAAGTCAGGGCGTATGGTCGAGCTTAGCTAGAATGTGTGTGAAAACCAAACGTCTAGATGTTGCCAGTGTCTGCTTGGGGCACATGGGAAACGCAAAAGCGGCCAGAGCGCTCAGACTAGCCATAAACGATGAAAGTTTGCAATTAGAAGCAAAAATCGCTGTCTTAGCTATCCAGCTAGGAATGCTGGTAATTTGCAGCGAAAATGTATTAGTTGAAGTAAAACGTAAATTTGCAGGATGAAGCCGAACAATTGTACACCCAATGCGAAAGATTCGATCTACTCAATAGTCTGCTGCGGTGCAGAAATAAAATGGAAACTGCTCATTCATTGGCTGAGTCGAAGGACCGAATTAACCTACGCAATACTGAACACGCATGGGCTAGAAAGCTTGAAAAAAATGGAGAATTCAAACAGGCAGCCATCAGGTAAAAGTTCCTCAATGTCTAGCGATGCTCATTTCAATATGCTACGAATGTATTTAATTTTGCAGATATGAAAAAGCGGGGACACATCGCTCTGATATCCCGCGCATGTTGAGCGATCATCCACAACAGTTACAAATTTATATGACCAAAACTAAGGATAAGTAAGTAGACAGTACTAGTTAAGAAACAAAATATAATAGAGCTCAAATTGCTTAATATGATTTAATTTTTTTAAGGGAAATGCTTAAATGGTGGGGCCAATACATCGAATCACAAGGCGATATGAACTCAGCTTTGAAAATCTATGCAAGTGCTGGAGACATTTATTCGCAAGTGCGCGTTCTTTGTTTTTTGGGCGAAGAATCCAAAGCAGCGGAATTGGCAAAATCCAATTCGGATAAAGCGGCGCTTTATCACATGGCCCGATACTTTGAAACCACTGGCCAGATTGAGGAAGCTGTGAGCTTCTACAATAAAGCCACCGCTTATTCTAATGCCGTGCGACTAGCAAAGGAGAACAATTTGACGTCGCAATTGTGGAATTTAGGTACACATTCTCAACAAAAAATTAGTTTTAACACACCAATTGTCTATTTCAGGTTTAACTGTCTCTAGTCGGGACAAAATCGAAATCGCCAAGTACTTTGAAGAGCAGAACAACTTAGAAAATGCCGTTGTTTTGTACCATCGCGGTGGCATGTTGCACAAGGCTCTGGATTTGGCGTTCAAGACCCAACAGTTTGAAATTTTGCAGGAAATTGCCACCCAGTTGGACGCCGATTCGGATCCTGCTTTAATCGACAAATGCGCCCAATATTTCATCGCCAAAGAGCAATTTGATAAAGCCGTGGATCTTTGGGCAATCGCCAAAAAGGCATTTTTGCCATAATGTAAATTCACAAAGTTACTGACGGGTTTTCTTGTAGTATCAAACAGCGATCCAAGTTTGTATTGATCACAACGTACGCCTAACTGAGGATTTAACCGAAAAATTAACTCCGGAAAAAGACACTGTTGACGAAGGACTGCGAGTCAATGTTTTGCAGATTTTGGCGGAAAGTTTAATGCTGCAAGGCGATTACCATTTGGCGACCAAAAAGTTCACTCAATCGGGGGATAAGGTAGTAGCTGACTTAGCAAGGAAATGAAATAAATCAGTCAGAAAATTTAAGGTAAAAGCCATGAAAGCCCTTCTAAAATCTGGGGACACGGATAAGATAATTTTTTTCACCGGCATCTCCAGGCAGAAAGAGATTTACATAATGGCAGCGAATTATTTGCAAACCCTTGACTGGCAGAATCAGCCAGAAATTTTGAGGAATATTATCACATTTTACTCCAAAGGAAAAGCGCAAGACCTTCTAGCAAATTTTTATGTTGCATGTGCTCAGGTAAGACTTGATTGCTTAGAACACTCTTGATGTGTCTGGGAAATTATTTTCTAGGTGGAAATAGATGAATTTCAGAATTACGAAAAAGCTTTGGGTGCATTGACGGAAGCTTCTAGATGCTTGCACAAAATTACAAACCCCATAGACCCATCCCAGATTCAAAGGGCAATGGATATCGTACAACAGCGATTTGCTATGGTCAAAAAGTTCGTTGATATTCGGAAATTGTTTGAAAGAGGCGACACACAAGCTGGTTAGTCACTTTCAGTGAAAAAATGCCTATTATCTATGTGTTAAGCAATTTTATTAATTCCAGGAATGACGCAATGCAAGCAGCTATTGATGCTTAATGGGTCTGACTTAGACATTTCAGTGCGTCGCGGAGATATTTATGGTTTGATGATCCACCACTGTGTAAAACTCGGAAATTTCACCGAAGCAAAACAGCTGGTAGTGGAGTTGAGGGAGTTTTTGGCTAACGAGGGGCTCAAAATCCCGCTAACTTATTACGTGGGCAAGGAAGTCATTGAGGCTTTAGCCAAAGGCTTAGATGTGCCCGTTACTACTTTTGCGCCTGCCGCGGCTCCAAAAGCTAAGGTGGATAATAGTGAAGATTTAGTTGATGAAGTGCTAGAAGGGTAAAAATTAAGTATTTATTAGCAAATGGAAATATACTGTAATCGCTATTAGACACTAAACTACAACTAAATAAGTTAAGAATTATCGAAAGTGACCCAGAACAACCGGTTTGGTGCTAAAATTTGCATGAATTCTAGAATGTTGTGGAGCTAAAAAGACAGTGGAGAAAAAAAATATAAAATTAAGTCTATTGAAGAAATTGGTTTGATTGATTTGATCACGCGCTTGCATTGGAAATTTCTACAAAACTTAACTTTTTCAGGTCTCTAATCGCACTTTCTTCAAATTGCAAACGTGATATTAAATTTGCAGAACGTATACATTTAATTGGGAAAATAACTCTCTTTTATAAATAAGAAATAAAGTAAATCACTTTCTTCAGTTTCATTATTAATTTTCCTCAATTGTACTTTGCGTTATCTGTGGCCGTTAAGTGGGTTATTTACGTGTACGTGATGGTAAACCTGCAGTGAAATTATGAAGAAAATAGAAGAAGAAATTGAAGAACTCATCGAGGATTTAAGAGAAGGTGGTGAAAATATGAGCGAAATGAACCATTTGTTTTATTACTTTACACATTATACACATATATTACATTATTATACTAGACTTATTGCCTCGTCTGTTACTGAGTTATAACTTATTTATGAAAGCGGATTAAAGCTTTCGGAGACCCGAGACTGGAATTTTAATATCTAAAAAAAGGTCATCAACATTTTTATGACTAACGTTTTACCACTTTGTCCAAACAACTATTTAATATTCTTCCATACTTCACCGAATTGTAACAATTTGATGAAAGAAATAGGTCCGTTAATCACATCGAATTTCCGTCTCGCTCGGTGGACAAGTAATAGAAAAAGAACGACAATTACTGCGTCACGGCCAAAAAGTTTGGGACAGACTATACTTATTCGTTTTCACTCATTTTTCACAACTATTTTTTGACCTTCAGTGCAATATTCAACCAATTATTCACCCTTTGCTCTTTGAATCAAACAAACTACAGTTTGTTCCTTTCGCCCTATTTGTGGTAGGGAAACATTCGCAATACAGCAGTTAAAACATCCCACACCATTACAGGGATTAATATAGTTTAATTAATATCCATTAAATGTACTGTTTAATTAAGACCCTTGCACAAGAAAAATTGGCGAATTTGTTTAATCAATTGGTTTTTTGAATAAGGCGGGTGATTTCGATGCTGTGATTGGTGGATGTTCTTATCGATTTGTCAAAATTGGGCGGTCTTCGTTAAACTGGTGGGTTTTAAATTCAAATTGCCATTAGGGTCTGATAATTGCACAGCAAACCAAACTGACTGTTCCATCTAGGAGTTTGATGTCTAATTGAAAAAAAATTGCGAAATCTTTAAAGAATCGTCAAATTTTTTGGCTGCTTAACATTGCGGTTGACATGCAAACTGCTTTCATTGTGATGTCAAAATCCGCCATATTGAATGTATGTGTTTATAAGTTTGCGGCGCCCCGCTTCAGTTACGGATTTTACATTAATTTTTGAATTTGCGGACTAATTATGTGTTACCGATTTGGTGCAAAACAATTATAAAGGTGGTGGAGGTGATTTTCTGATATATCTGGCGGTTTCCAGTGTCCCAGGTGTTCCAAACAGTCGAAAATTGCGTTGATAAGTTTTGTAATGGCTACCTCTCGCGTCCCCCCGATACGGGTTGATGGACTATGTTTGAATATCCGCGTTGCGACTTGATTATAACGCTTTCCTGCATTTCCACATCGAATTTGCGATGAATAACGATAATCAGAACACGATTCAAAATGCACATGGCCCTAATCCAAACCATGAAGTGAGTATCTAATGAAGAAATTATTCATCATTCCGTCATAAAAGTTATAATCAAGGAGTGTTTGGCTTTTTCTCCACTTGCATTGTCTGTTTGTTTACATACAAAGTGACGTCAAAGATTCAAAACTTCGCAACTAGTTTTTATGAAAAAAATATTGTATACAATAACGAATAAATGTTAATTACCCATTATCAACTTCATGGAAAATACACATTCAGTTTGTTAACAAGTTTCAAAGGTATTTCGTGTAGGTAGTGGGGTTAAGAAGGTTTCGTGTTTTTGCTTAATTATTGTTCATTGTCTGGTGCACCGGCTATGAAAACTCAGTTAAAACAAAGGTTGAAATTAAGAACATAAACACCAATATCAAGATAAAGTGTTTTTTTTAATTTACCATCACAGTCAACATCAGTTAATGTTTTGGTTTATTTCAGCCTATTCCAGATAAACCTATTCAGTTAAAGTACATCCGAACAGTTTCAAGAGTTTAATTTTCACTTGAAAACTAGCAGAAATTGTTTTATTCTAGCGCGCACACGATATTAACATTTAAGGCACATGTACCAATGCTAGTCAATTTCGTATAAACAACGTTCAAGTACATCGTGCGAAATTAAAGGAACATTCATTAACATATCATGAAAAACTCACAAACTTTAAATTCGGGAACGCAGCATGGTGGTTTTCATACATGAGAATCAGTTGCAGCGTGCTATTCATGGCGATTATACGAACAAATCACGTTTCGGCTCACAAAATGCCTTCACCCCAAAAAAAATTCACTTTTGGAAACGTTCCCGCACAGATTTACTACTTGTAATTATTGAAATTCTATCTATTGGCTGGACCCAAGCAAGTAGTCAAACAGAGCACAAATGCAGATGAAAACATACTTATACAGGAACAACTTATTAAATTATCCTCAAATGAGACGCTGGAATAAGTGTTTAAACAAGGATCCGACAATTTATTGTTACAAAATCAGCTCGCAATTTTATATCTAGTACTATGGATTATTGTACAGATGTTTTGATTGATTTTCCGTCCTCCTGTTTGGTAAAACGTGGAGCGCCGTTTAAAAAAAAAAAGAAACCGTCTAGAAATTAGTACTTGTGGGGATTTGGGGTGGAAATACAGTCATAACATCCCATCAGATTCATCCAAGTCATTAATTTATTTTGTATTTTAAAACAAGCTATAATTTGAATAAATACGTCGTCAACAAAATGTGTTACCTATTATACGTTTGATCATCAATTTTTCTATTATGCATTTATGTATTTTTTTATCCAGAGTCCGTGGGAAAATTTTTACTTTGAAAAGGGTTTGGGAACCACTGTTCTAAACCAATGGACGATTTTTATAAACTAAAATATTAATTTTTTTCTCATAAACATAAACAGCACGTTCAGTTGCTGGACTATTTATGAGTCAACACCCGCGCAATTTAGGAAATGGACGATTTTCCTTAAAAAAGTAGGTTTTTTGTTATCAGTCTAGGAAAATTTCACTTACCACTTGCTAGTCCATTGAAGGTCTGACTCCGGTTGATCACTAACCTTTGAGTAAAACTCCAATTTTTTTCTCAAACTGCCAAGTACCCATTCCAATGTCAAAACACTTTGAACTGGTAGGGAGAGTATGTAAAGATGGCCGTTGATTGGCAGTAAACGTCAGAAAATGAGCGATTTTAAAATCGCCTTTTTATGTTAAAAACGTCACTACCCAATCGAGAAAATACCGCGAAACCGTAAACAAAACCCGAATTTCTGAGAAAATCAGTGCTTTTTCGCACATGAATTGCAAGCATCGGGAATTTTTCGAAATTTAAGCGGAGCGATCCGGGAACCGTGTTGCTAACCACCATTTGTAAATCGACTAATTTGACTCAATGTCATGAAACTGACGTATTTCGGAAAGGTGAATGCTCCATACCTTTAGGAAAGATAAAAATCGGTTTTTAATGTTGAAAATTTCACTAACAGATTGGAAAATACCGCAAAACGATCATGGAAAACGTAATTTTTGAGAACATCAGCACCATTTGGCACATAAATCCCATGGACCGTGGATTTTTCGACTTAAACGGAGCGAACCGGGTACCGTGTTTCCTAACCACCATTAAACAATGCACTAATTTGACTAAATGTTAAAAATCTCACTATTCAATCGGAAAACACAGCAAAACAACGAAGGAAAACGTAATTTTTGAGAAAATCAGCAGTCTTTTGCACAGAAATCTCACGTACCCGAGATTTTTCGAAATTTAACGCAGCGAACCGCACACACCGTTGCCTAGCTTCCATTAAACAAAAGACTAATTCGACTAAATGTCATGAAACTGACGTACGTTTGAAATATTATGACAGGCAATTTTGAAAAAGGCGATTTTTTGCTTAAGAATGCCCAATTTAACGTAAGATCGTCCAAAACCCAGTATATAATATAACCTATTAATGCTGCGGTTACTCGGCCAAAATGAACAATTAAGTTCATCTATTGCTGAATCTAATATTTTTAAATTGGTTTTTAGCTTTCCCCACAACGGCAAAACCCTAATACCATTCCAACTGATTTGCGGGTGAACACCACTGCATTGAATGCCGTGGCATTAAGTAGCGTGGCCAAGTATTGGGTTTTAACCAATCTACTACCAGGCCCAATTCCGCAAGTTTCTGTATATGGATTATCCGGCGCAAACAGGGATAATCAAGGAAAACTCACCCAAGTGAGTACACACATTTCAGTGGCTTATCAAGAACCCCGTTCAAACCGTGTGACTTTTAGGATGCTGTACTAAGTCAGCATGCTGCGGGTTTGCTGCAAGCTGATCCGCAGCTCTTGTTACAACAACATGGCCAAATTCCGGTTAGCATAGCGACAGCCCAAGGGGCGATTGGGATTCCGGCCGGGGCCATTCACTTGGACGCACATACCATCTCTCAACAGCATGCCCATCAGCAACACATTGAACACAACCAGATTACTCGGGAAGTAAGGGTAATGACCAAACATACTACACATATGTTTGCGGTCTTTTACCATTTTATCATCCTGCTAATTCCCGCAGATATCGAATGCCCAGCAGAATCACAACCAGCACAACTTGGTCCAAGTGCAAGTGAATCAAGACAATATGGTATCTGTGATTGACGTCAACCATGATAAGCACAAAGACATATTGGCTGCTCAAATTCAAGCTGCACATATGCAGCTCAACGAATCTCAGATTAACACCCAAGTGTCGGCGGTGCAGCAATTGCAGCAGCTGCAAGCCCAGCAAGTTCAACAGGTTTTGGACAATGTCATGGTGAAGCCGTAAAAAGCAAAGTGAAACTGTAAATTTGGCACTATTTTAATAGGTGAGAATGGAATCGTCAATCGACCATAATCAGCAGCAGCAGCAGCAGCAACAACATCAACATCAACAACAATCCCAGCAACAACAGTCGCAACCCCAATCTCATACGGACCAAACTTCTCTTAGTGATAACATGGAGAAAGAGGAGAAATCCATCCAAAGTAAGTTCTTGAGCAATGCACAATTAGGGCTTCAAGAAGTTAAGGGCAGTGTTATGGATGTAAGGACAGCAGACGGAAGTATAGGTAAGTATGTTCTGGTGGAGGTTGGCTTGTGTTAACGTTTTTAAATCTCAATTTGAAATTCTCAGTCTTAAAGACAGAATGCAACACATTTTTGGACAGCTTAGTAATTGACTCAATCGGTTTTTTTCTGAAGCCCACAACAGACCGATTTTCATTTTCAGTTTCACATTTTGCTAAAATTTTACGTTGTGATGTTACAAAAGCATTCGCGTTTGTTACTTTTTCGGTTATATTCGAGCTGCTAATGTACCTATTGAATTTTAGTCAAAATCCAAACCAACATGCAGGAACAAGATCTGGCAAAGACGTTGGGCGCAGAAATGGTCCAGAACATGTACAAAGTTAATGTAGACGACCTGAACCAGCTGTTAGCGTACCACGAGATTTTTGGCAAGCTGCAAAGTCAAAGTATGTTGCATTTAAAACATTCGCTAAAGCTAAATTACAAATCTTTCAGGTGATGTTTCCAGCAATACCACCCAAGCTCTACCGCCAGCTAATAATAATAACAATAATAATAATGTCAGTTTACAACAGCCACAGAACTCGAGCATTTCAATTATAGCCAAATCCGAACACGAAGATGCTCAGAATAATTCGGCTATTCATCATAATGAGAATAACACCACTTCGGTTATTACTGGTAACCATCAGTGCGATCTTTGTTTGAAATCGTTCCAATTTCGTTATCAACTGATTGTTCATCGGCGGTATCACAGTGAAAAGAAACCATTTACTTGTCAGGTGGGTATATTTGAGATAATTTTTTGCGTTTTAATATCGATGAAATTAAATTTTTTCTCAGGTGTGTGGTAAAGCGTTTCCAAATGCTCAGGAGTTGTCCAGACATGGAAAATGCCACTTGGGCGGTAGCATGTTTACCTGTACGATATGCTTTCATGTTTTCGCCAACGCGCCTACTTTAGAGCGCCATATGAAGCGCCATTCGGCCGATAAGCCTTACGGCTGTACCACATGTGCAAAAACCTTTGCCAGGAAAGAACATCTGGATAATCATATGCGAAGCCACACTGGAGACACCCCGTATAGGTGCCAGTTTTGTGGAAAAAACTTCACCCGAAAAGAGCACATGGTGAACCATGTGAGGAAACATACTGGTGAAACACCTCATAGGTAATTGAGTGGTTTTAAATCAAAAGCTTTTTTTCTACATGTGGATTTTATTCCAGATGTGAAATTTGCAAAAAGTCTTTCACCCGCAAGGAGCACTTTATGAACCATGTAATGTGGCATACTGGCGAAACGCCGCATTGTTGCACGATATGCGGCAAAAAATATACTAGAAAGGAACATCTTGCCAATCACATGAGAAGCCACACTAATGATACACCGTTCAGGTAAGTTTATTTTCGCTAGGGTTTTTCATTATTTGTTACGGTCGATTATTCCACAACAGGTGCGAAATCTGCGGAAAGGCATTTACCAGAAAAGAGCATTTTACCAATCACATAATGTGGCATACGGGGGAAACGCCGCATCGCTGCGATTTTTGCTCTAAAACTTTTACTCGAAAAGAGCATTTATTAAACCACGTTAGACAACACACGGGAGAATCTCCCCATAAATGTGTGATCTGTAATAAGTCGTTTACCAGGAAGGAGCATTTGACGAATCATGTTCGACAACACACTGGTAAGTTTCATTTTAACTGTTGATGTGTGCAGGATGGAATGCCATTTTTGGTTCTTTATAGGCGAGACTCCTTTCAAATGTACTTACTGCCCAAAAGCGTTTACGCGAAAGGACCACTTAGTGAACCATATTAGACAACACACGGGAGAGTCCCCACACAAGTGCACTTACTGTACAAAATCTTTTACAAGAAAGGAGCACCTGAATAACCATATTAGACAACATACTGGAGAGTCACCGCACAAGTGCCATTTTTGTGCCAAATCCTTTACCAGAAAGGAACATTTGACGAATCACGTTCGAATTCATACTGGTAAGGAAAAACGCTGTTTGGATCAGTAACTTTGTGTAAAAAAAACCTTTTTAAAGCGTTATAAATACCTACGGTGTAATTTTGCCGTAGGAGAATCGCCGCATCGATGTGAGTTTTGCCAGAAAACGTTTACCCGCAAGGAACATTTGACCAATCACTTAAGACAGCACACAGGAGAAACTCCCCATTGTTGTAATGTGTGCTCGAAGCCCTTCACTAGGAAAGAGCATTTATTAATTCACATGCGATCGCACACAGGCGAAAGGCCATTCACTTGCACTGAGTGTGGAAAATCGTTTCCGCTTAAAGGTAGAATTGCAGCTTGGCAATATTGAACACAATTGCTGATGAGCTATATTTGCAGGCAATCTGTTGTTTCATCAAAGATCTCACAACAAGGGCCAACAGGCTGAAAGGCCATTTAGGTGCGATCTTTGCGAGAAGGATTTCATGTGCAAAGGCCACCTGGTGTCTCACAGGCGCTCGCACGGCGGAGAAAAGCCGTATAATTGCACGGAATGCGGAAAATCCTTCGGCGAAAAGGGCAATCTGTTGCGACACACCAGAAAACACGCGCTGGACCGGGAAAAGGCGGAATTGGCTGCAGAGCAAGCTATGGGAGCACAAGGTGGGTAGAAAGTAAACTAAATTATTCCTGAAATTGGTGAATTTTTCGGACCCTTTTTAAATTGATGTGAGCACGATTGCTGCGTGCGAAATGCCAGAGCATGAATGAACATTTTTTTCTCGAAAAACTCACCAGTTTCAAGGCAAATCCGTTTGCAATAAGATAATCTTATTGCGAAATATGAGCAGTATTTATGACGCTGTAATACGTGATGAAATTCGGTCTTTTTTAAAGACAAAAATCTTTCAATAAACGGTCAGACGGATAAGACGAATTGCTAGAAAGTTTGCAACAGGCGCGATAGTCAAAAATAGCCACTGTCGCGGCTCAGGGCCGGCTCGTCAGATTTATACACACCTTTAGATATGCATGTCTGCTAGTTTTATGTTTGCCGTTAATAAAAAAATAAATGTTTCTAATCGATTGGTGTCAGGTGCTGTACAACAGCAACAGCAGCACCAACCGAACCAAAACCCCAACAATTTGCAACAGTTGACACAAGTATCTCAACAATCGTTGCAGCAGGGACAACAACAACAACAACAACATCAACAACAACAGCAAAATAACCCGAATATTGTACAGACTGGTCATCTGATTCATTCTGCCAACCATCTCTCTGTTGTGGTTCCTACAAATGCTAGTGTACTGGCGAGTTACTAAAATTGCGATCAGGTTTGGGATGTATAAATAATTATAATCTTTTTTATTTTCTTTTTTGAACTTTTCTTATAACTAGCTGTTACTACCTAAGTTACTAAAGCTCCTTTAGTTGCCCGGTAGTACAAATTTCTTTGGGGATGGTCCTATTAGAATCTTTATACATTTCCAAAACTGAGCTCGGCATTTGTGATATAGATCTAAAACGTATATTATTCTTTGCGCTAATTTGTTGTAAAATTTGTAGGCTTGTCATGAATATTGTCTAGAACCGAATAGACTCAATGCTTAATCATCTATGGCAATTAGTGCAATAATGTAGGCAATATTGATCTGATATCTGAACATGGGAACAACTACCTTTTACTCATATCAGCGGTTATAGATTAAAACACTCGAATACTAATCAGAAGTGGCTCAACAAAAAATTACTAAACCAAGAATATTTTTTCGCAGAAAAAGTAAATTGCATATACTACAAGTACATATACTAAAATCCAGCTTGGCCAGTAGACTTTAGTATTAAACAAATCGAGTTTATTCATTGAAATTAAAAACAGTATTAAGCTTACATCTGATGAAGCAGAATCATGTTGATAAGAGTGTAACTTGTGCTCGTTTTTACGTGGATGACCAAACGTTTTGCTTTAACAAGTTCTTGCATAATCTGAAAAATTAATTGCCGAATTTAAATTTCTTTGGTGTTATGCAAGCATATGCAGATACTTTCTGAATATTTTTCAGTATTTTGGTTCATATTTTTCGATTAAAATCTACTAAGTAAATGCATTTGTTGACATTTCTGCTGAAGCTTAATGTGTCTTTGCTTATTTCCATGCAAACATGGTTCTTATTCATGCGAATTTGTTAGGTCTTAGATCTAATTTCTAATCCTTAATTTAAGGTAATTATTTCTAATTAATGTACATACATTCTAATGTTAAAAGAGAAATGATAGTTTATTTTTACGAGTAGTGTTTTTTATTTAAAAGGCTGTATGAATACATGATTTCTAACATACATTCATGGTCGTTTTAATGACTCATGAAATGCCATTAATCGATGAGTCTGATAAAATACTGCATATTTCAGTAATTTTCCTTTAACCAAGTGCCTTCGTCGTTAGATAATTATTTGATGACCTCTTGTTAATGTTGAAATTTTCAATTAGAAGAAGTGTGTTTTTCAACTCGTAATCCTAATCTTTTATAGATGTAAATTGGCAAGGTTTTAAGTAACTGCCTGTCAGTCATGTTTGTTTTTCTATTAAATATTGGCTCTCGTGACTACTGTAGTATGCCTGGAATTATGACCTTGCATGAATTTACCGAGAACCGGTTGTAAAACACTTATTAGTTTTCTTAATTAAATTATCAATTGCATGGTTCAAAACGCGGTTTTTACTGCATTAAAGAGTGCTTAATGAGTGTGTGTTACTGATCTGAAGGCACCGCATGTAAAGGGAATTCTGGAACGCAGCAAAAGCGGATTCATAGGATGCCCAGCCAATGGATTCATCTGTCCATTGAATAACAGTAAAACGCTTGTTGCTGTTGTATTGTTAAAGTCATCTTTAAACTTTCTATAACATAATATTTGATTTTTCTTAGGTAAATGTATGTACAATGTTCAACTTAAGAATAGTTCTTCAAAGAGACTTGGGTCCAAGAGTAAAGATCTCTTTGACGCTGACTAAAATAGGCAAAACCCTGACTAGAAACTAATGATGTTGAAATGGAATGTTGTTGAATCCACGTAAAAATGCGTCTTAAACATCTACTGCGCCGAACTATCTTCTAGCCGGTTGAAATAGAACCTTTCGACAGTTCCAACACTGCTTATAACAAAAAGTATCACATTTGCTCAGCCAACATAGTCAGACAACGAGCAGCATTCCTGCAATGAGCAAACTAATCAACGCTGTGGCAGCTTTTTCCGCAGCTGCAGAAGATGGTTTGGGCGTAGTGGAACCGTTCGTTTGACCCATTGAAGATTCCGGTGTAGGTTCAGCTTGGGGTTCAGCCGGCTGGGGCGACAAGTACGGGTCCTGATCGGTGCCGGGCTTCAGAACAGGTACTTCTTTTTCTGTTGTAGTTGTCGAGGAAGCTTCGCTGGTTTGCGAGCTTTCGTAGTTGTAACTTTCGTCATACAAGTAGCTTTTGCCGCCTACATTCGAAGCGATTAGCCTGAAGTTGGGTTCGTTGATGCTGAGTTTTTGGTAAATGAATCTGTTTAGCCTGTTTACTAGGATGGTTAAGTTGCCTTGGTCGTCAAAGGCGAAGGAATTTACCCATTCGAGATACCTGCAAGGACATTATATAGTTTAGTAGTTGTTTGAATTATTCGTTGGGAAAAATGTCTGTCTACCTTTCGTCTTTAGCGATCATTTTCTGGCCAGTCTGGAACGGAGTGCCAGAATCCCACCTGGCAATGCCATTGAGCGCCAACAAGCTGTAGTAAAGCACCCCTTGATTGTCCATCACCATTCCCACACTTTGAGACGCCTTCGTTCCATAATCCTTCACATTTCCCTGAAACTCGCCCAAAGTGGCCGCAAACTGTTCATTCTTCAGCACGCTGGAATTGATGCTGTAGAGGTGCAAAGAGGATAGTGGTGAATAAAACACCTCTCTTTCGTCATTTACAATGATTTTGTCGTTGCTATTTTTTATGCGCGGACTTAATGCAAGGCTGGCAATGTTGAGGGATGCGCTGATCGACACGTCGTTAACGCGAAAGTACGCAGCACGTGGATCTGCGCGCATTGACTGGCTGTGCCGGATTTTCCAGGATTTGTTGTCTTTGGCTGAGAACACAATTATTCCTGGAACAACAAAACTATTTTAGGGAATTGCTTGAGAAATAGGCATGTGTGGATTTTGAGATGGAAATTTTTTCAAAATGTTATATTTTACATCATTTTCAGCTCACGGACGCGAGCAATGCATCGAACTCATTGAAAAACATGCTAGAAGTTTCAGATCCGAATTAATAGACATTTTCGGCACATTTTAAGCGTTTTTTGAGTGTTCA